GACGGCCCAGTTTGTTCCACCGTTCCCAGTAAAGCCGCTGGGGTTTCCTCCTTAGGAAAGCTCCTTAAAACGCCAAAGTCTTGATAAGGAACTGCCAGGAGGAGCGCTCGGTTTTCCGAGAAGGGGGGAAAAATGTTGAAAAGCGTCTTTTTTCTCCAATCCGGAGTCTCCTACATCTCCATCCAATCTGTCCCCTCTTAGATCGCTGTACGGCGCCTGACACCCGGTCAAAATGAGGGAGGAAAAAAGAGAGAACACGGCAACTTCTGCCTCCGCTTTTCCCAAAAGGTTGTCGATCTACGGGATTGCGGCTTTAAAAGAGGCAATTTGATTTATTGGTTGGTGGATTTGCGTGTATTAGCCGCCCGACTTCAGTGGACTTTAAAACAAGGAAGGCAGGCAGTGTTCTAACCAGTGATTATTTTGTATTCCTTTCTTTGCAGCGGAAACAATGAGGTTACCATTAAATAAGGAGTGAGACCAGGGAAGGGGTTTTTTATTGCACTTTATCCCCCACCCCACCCACCCCTTTCGATCCCAAAACACGATCCAGCGATGCATGTGTCTTAAGCTTTCCTTGGGAGAATGGGCCTACTCAAAAGGAAGCCCACCAGGCTTGACCGCCAAAGGAAAGCGAATATTAGAGAGATGGGGGCATTTCACCACACAGATTTTAATATTCAACTTGATCCAGATGCAAGGCTGTAGGATCTCAGCCTCTCAGCGCATCCAGCTAAGAACATTTTAGCTCCCGCGCCTGCCTGGATCTGGCCCGCTCCTCTTTCGGAAGCCGAATCTCTTGGTCAGGCAAAAGGGGAGGGGGATTTATTTGCAAGGGTCTACTACTACTTGTATGTACACTGCAAGCTTAAGCACCGGAGACAAATTCCTTGTGTGGGTCCAACCGCACTTGGCCAATGAAGAAGTCTGTTCTAACTGGCTCAAATCACCCTTCTATCACAAAACCACAAAGAAACCCAACGCAGGGGTCTTCTTGCTGAGAAGCCACCGAGTGAGGTGCTGAGATTTGGAGGAGGAAGGAGAGGAAGAGGAAGGTCAGCCAGGGCGCGGCGGCGGCGGCGGCGGCGGCTCCAGTTCCACGGACCTGCCAAGAAGGCCTAACTCAAGTCCCGAGCGAGGCTGAGTTAGCTTTCCCTGCGCCAAAACGCTCCGGCCTTTTTCAAGGGCAGAAGCTGGCTTACCGGAGCTGCTTTTGAGACCCTGGCAACCGGAGAAGGAAAGAGAACAGCTGGGGGAATCGGTAGTCTTGGCCCCGCCGGTGCGTTTCCCAAACTTGCGCAGCGGGAAAGGGAAAACAAAGGCGAGCGGAACAAGGGAAAAAAAACAGTCCCAGCTACGGAAGGGGCGAGATGAGTCGGGCTAGACTTAGCCGAGCGCTGCTGAGTTCTGACAACCCAAAGGCTTCTAGACAAGCCCACCTGCTCGGTGGCGAGAAGTCCCGCAGCTCTGAAAGTCTGGAGAAGGCAGCTTAGCGGCCCACCCACTGCTGGCGTTTTGCAGGGAAAGGAAGCCACGCTCGAGGTGAGGCCTCTGCCCCGAACGGCGTGCAGCCGGGAGGATGCAGGCCTCTCCCGGCTCTGGCTAGGAGGTTTGGAGAAGGGAGCCCTCTGCACGCAAAGGCGGCAGTTTCATGGGACCTTTCCTTTGCTTTACCCCCCCTTTCCCCCCCCCCACCGGGCTTCCTAGCGAAGCCTTTCCCCAGCCGCCTGCAGAACAGGCGCCGTCTCTGTTCTAAGCCCCAAGAGAAAGTTGCGACGAAGAACGCCCGGTGCGCAAAGCTGTTGCAGCGGGATCCTCACAGGCGGGGGACGCCTGTGCGCCTGGGTGTACCGATCCCCAACACACACACAAACACACACATACAAACACAGATGCACAAACGCACCTCCATTACTCAAATCGTGCAACCCAAGTCGCGTTTAGAAAACCTTAACCTTAAACCAGACCGTGAACGGATTACTTGAGCAGAAAAAGTCTCCCCCTCCCCTCCCCCCCCCGCTTCCCTTTAGACCCCACACCAAAAACGACCCTGCCAGGAAGGCGCAACCTTGCAATATACCTCGCCCCCTCCCTGCTTTTCGCTGCCAGTCTGGTGCAAGGGCCAGCCCCGCAGCGGAGCCTGTCGGTTGCGCGGGCCGGCCTCGGGTTGCAAAGAGACCGGGGAGGGGGGGGCAGCCCTTTTTTTCGCCCCACAGCCCCCTCCTCGCCCTCCCGGTGAGGATCCAAAAGGGAAGGCCCGCGTCTGCTGCGGTTGAGAAATTTGATTGGGGGGGGGAGAGGAAATCCCTTGTCGCCTCCCCCCCCTCTTTTTTTTTTTTTTTATCAGCGAGAGAAGAAAGGCGGTTGTGGGGGGCAGATAAATCGGTTTCTGAAGTGAAGTGGCTCCGGGTGATCTCACAGACGTGCGAGGCGCCCCGCAGACGGGCGATGCCTCGTTCGCAGCGGGGTCCCAAAACCGGCCCGAAATCAAAAGTTTTCTTTTAGAGGAAGGCCTTGGGAAAAGCGCGTCTCTCCCTCATTCCCTCCCCACCCCCCACCCCCACCAGGCAGGAATTCGCGTCCCTAAGGGAGACTTTTTGGCTGCGTTTGGTGACGGTCCTTAAGTTTAAACGCACCGGGGCCTTCAGCATTTTTAGGCTATAAAGAAACAGGAGGGAGAAGCATGGAGGGGGGGGGGAAGACCTGTTGATCTTTCTCCTTCCAGCTCCAACTCCCCCCCCCAACAACCACTAGGTGCTGAAGCTAAACTCTCCGCCCCCCGCCCTCCAGCCTCGACCCCCTTCAACAACTTAATTGTGCCAAATTTACCACGCGCGCCTGCGGAGAAGAGGAGAGGTGCGTAAGAGGCTTACCTTGATGGGTGACTTGCAGGCCGGAGAGTAGATGAAAAGAACCTTTAAATGTTTCATTTTAAAAAAAAAAAAAAAAAAGAGGGAGGATGAAGGAAACCAGGAAAATCCTGGCTTGGCTTTTCCATCCCCCCCCCTTCATTCAGGGGTTGTTTGTGTGGACGCGCTGAACAAACACAGCCCTGCGTGCGTGCGCGCGTGTGTGACACCCGGTGCTCGGGAGAATGCAATCGTCCCGACGTCTTCGATACTTTTTTTTTTTTCTCCCCAGAAGAAAATGTTTCGGCTGGTGGGGGAGAGGGAGGGGGAAGAGAGAAAGGGAGAAAGCCCGAGCAAACAGCAATTTAAACTGTGTGGGCCATTCTCAGCCCCGCCAGGGGGGAGGGGGAGGGAAAAGGGGGGGGGAAGCCTCTGGACTTTTATTAAAGAAGGCCCGGGGACGTGTTTACGTTGCTTTGTGTAAACATCCTGCCCTTCTTGTCTTTCTGTATCTCGCGAAGGAATCAGAAACATGGGCCCTTTTTTCTTTCCTTCTTTCATTTTTTTTGGAGGGGGGGCGGTGAGCTGAATTCTAAACTCACCGCTTAAAAGAGAGACAGAGAGAGAGAGAGAGAGAGAGAGAGACTTAAGTTGATCTATTCGACCGTTTTCTCCCTTTTCGGTGGGGTGTGTGTAAACAATGTTGTGTATAATCAACGTTGTTGGCTAATTTGTTTTTTTTTTCCCCCTTTTCTTTTCCTGAGGGGCTGATTCGAATCAGCATCTCTGAAACGTGTTTTGTTTGTTTGTTTTCATTTCATGCATTTAAAGATGGAACACCTCGGAGGTGAGTGTCACCAACGCACAAGTACACCCGCCTACGTTTGCAACGGTTGTGGAATTTTTGGGGGGGGGGGAAAGGAAGAGATGCGAGAGTGTTTCCCTCCTTCGGTTCGTGTCTCCCGCGGAGGCTGAGGTTCCGGGGGGGGGGGCGGTAATCCAACCTATCGTAAAGATCAGCTTTTCCGCTACAAATAAACATCATAAACGTCACATCTGCCCAGCGAAAGGGTGGCATTTAAAAAAAAAACCGGACCGTAAACGGACCGAGAAGATACACTATTTTGCGTGGGCATATCTCCTTCCCACTTCCCCTCTTCAAATCTTCAAAAAAGTAGTGGTCGGGGGGGGGGGGGTTGAAGAGAAGTGGACTGCTAGATGTTGAATGGGGATTCAGTAACATCTTAAGCCGGATCTTCCGGGCACTAAGCCAAAAGATGCGTTCTTTGCTACAGTAAATCCAGAAAGGTCTCCACTGGCTGGGGATGCGCCTTCCCCCAGCGGGAGCTTTCCAGGGAGGGGGCCGCCGAGCAGAGGCCTAGAATCGGCCTCGCAGTCACTCTACAGCATTCCCGTAGATGTGTGTGTGTGTGTGTGCGCGCGGGGAGCGGGGAGGTTAGCAGAGGTAGGAGGAGAAATGTTCTCCCCATTTTCCCCGGGGGGAGAAAATGGGGGGGCTCCCTTTGCCTTCTCGCTGTCTCTCCGAAAGAGCGGAGCGTCTCCCAAGGGCGAACGCGCGTTGCGTTCCGGCGGGTTGTGTGAAGGCCTTCCCGGGGACGGCGCGCGCGCGCGAGGCAGCAGCGAAGTCCTTCTTTTCCAACAGGCCAAGGCGGGCGGGCGGCCGGGGTGGGGAGGGGAGGGGAGGGGAGGGGGGCGCGGGGAGGGCGAGCCGCTTCAGAGC